CTGACTTAGCGCTTCAAGGGGGCTTGAAAGTGTCTAAGGCCGCACGGGAGCTTGAAAAGGTTCAAGTCCGTGACATTACGGTAGCTACAATAAACAAACCCACAAAAGACAACCAAAGCAAAAGACACAAGCCCCAACCCTAGGAGACAGAGGTGGTAGCAACCACCTACATGGAAAAAACAGGACCACAAAACACAAAAAAAAGGACCACAAACCACAACAGCGAAAACAGACACCAGAAACTGGTGGGAACAACGTGTCGTAATTGCGGCGCCACACACAACAATCCCAAGACGAGACTTGGACTTCTATGATTAACCCAACACAACAGAACTTGCCGGAAACGAGAGCCCAGAAAGCGGCCAAATCGTCGGCAAGCCGGCATCAAGAAGATCAACCCAACCACAAAACCCAGAAGCTGGTCCCGGACCCATCACAGCACACCGAGCATGAACTATACGCCAAAGGAATGACGTCAGCAAGACGTACTCGGTGGAAAACACCGCTAGCAGTGGAAAGCACCAGACACAATAGACACCGGCAAACGGCATCAATGGAAAAGTATCCCACAAAGGGATTTGAAAACGAAATTCAAGGCCAAAAGAAATCCCGAAAGTGAGAGCAGTGCCAAGAACAAACCGAAAAGGGAACGGGAAACTCCAGATCGGAAGAACGACCAGGCTGGAAGTGCAAGGGCCGGCTGGAAGGAGACTGAAGGCCTAACCAAAATAAACACCGCAACGACGAACGCATAGGGCAGAAACAAAAAAATGAGAACAAACCAAGAAAAGCCAGAGCCCGAACAACACGGCGCCAATACCGGGATCAAAAGTATAGATCGTAAAGCCCTCACCAAAATTAGGACCGTCTCACCACAAGCCATGGAGAAACCCCATCACCGGAAACATCATCGAACGCACAAACTCTGAAAAAACATAACACCGCCCCAACGAAGGGGAACCTCTACAGTAGAGAGGAAAAGGGGAGCCTCTACAGGAGAGAGGAAACTTCCTTATTTTGTTTTTTCTATCTATCTATCATACATATACCACAAATTCCAATGGGGAATTGGAATTTGTGGTATATGTAGAATTATTTTTATAAGTTTATTAGCCTTGTATCTTTTTGTGTTTTTTTAACTTAACTTAATTGGAATTTGTGGTATATGTAGAATTATTTTTATAAGTTTATTAGCCTTGTATCTTTTTGTGTTTTTTTAACTTAACTTTGTTACTCCGCTCTCTCCCTCTCACTTTCCTGTTTTTTTCATTTGTTTTAAATTCATCTCAGTTTTATCTCCACTCTATTTCATCTCTCTTTTGAGTTTCTAATTGACATGATGGTGATATTAATTTAGTTTCATTCATCCTCAAATTTTTAGAAAGATAAAAGTGAAATTTCTAATTTTATTATTATTTAAAAAAATAAAAAGGCTAATATTTTTATGATATTTACAGCACCCTTCTGTGTAAAGCTCCAAGAAAGTGACCTCATGTCTAGACTGGCATTTGTACAGAAGTCAAAATAAGGTGGTGATCAGTTAGCTGTCTTAACCCACCCATAATTGGTTTCACAATTAATAACAACTTAAATATAACATTAATGTCCCAATTTCTTTGGACTTTTTTGAAATTGTAATACATCAAAGTCAAACTATGTGTTCTTTTTAGGACAGTTTGACATTAATTTCTAAGACAATTCTAAGGATGAAATTAGAGAGGTTTGTGTCAATGACTGCTTCAAAGAGAAGGAAATCTAGGTGATAAATTTATAATGAATTTTCTAGAAATGGATTGCCATGCAAATGGTTTGTTTTTTGGGGCATGCAGAAATGTAAATCAATTTAACAAGAACGTAATTATTATTTGCAGTATTCCCGGTATATGCTTTGACCGAATATTTATTACGTAATACTTTCAAGCAATGAATAGTCACTTCCTAATTAGGAGTATTACATTCTTAATACTTTCCCTTATGAAAAATTCTCTGATGATTGGGATAAGTTGTACCGATAATAACTAGCTTTTTGTTAGTAAATGCACTCCCTTAAATTGTGTGATAACTCAGGTTCGACTCACAACATTTTTTCTTCTCCTTCCTAAATAAAAATAAAATAAAATAAAAGTTGGTGACACTGAGAAAATATGACATTATGTGTCTAGACTTGGTGTAAATATTGATAACATAATGAATTTAATTTGTTTGAGCAAGTTATACCCAAATCAGAGGTAAGTCCTATATGGTCACATTTTTTGGGGGCATCGATAAAAATATATACTACTGCATGTTTGGGAAATAATTGAATTTATTTTTTTCTAAAAAAATTTCCACCAAACACAGGAAATAATTGAATTGGAATTTATGGTTTCCAAACGAAACGTACAAAAAATGTTTCATATTCACCACCTACCGCGTTATGGACATGATTTAGAGATCATTTATTTTCCATTTCTATCTCCCACATGTTGGTACAGGACCTTTTTAAAATTTAATCTGCTTAGAAATATTATGAGAAAAAGAAATTGCATTTATTATCCGCATGAGTAGGAAGACGAGTTCTATAATTATGTTACGTTCTAGTTTAAGTTTAAGTCAGTCTTTGTGAATTACTATAATATTTTCTTTAAAATCAAACATGACCCCGTCGTCTTTGACCCTTCTTCATTTATTAATTTTTAATTAACCAAAAATAAATTGCCTCCGTTGTTTTAGGACTAATGTGGCTCAAATAGTTGACTCAATAAAAGAAAACATAAAATTTGTTGTCTTGCTGCAAAATATATCAATTAATTATTGGTTTGAGAAGCTAGTATGTATGCTTTTGAAGTAGTGATTGATAACAATTCTTTTAAGACATACTATTTTGACATTATGCATAGACCGTGTATTATGAGTTGCTTAGCGCATAAGTTGAATAATTACATGTTATTTTGGTGGCAGAATTTCATAAAATATGAGAGTATTTCTTATCTTTGTCAAGATATATGAATAATAATAACAAAATAATACAATTATGTCATTGAATGTGTGAATTCTATAGCTTTATATTCTCATTAATACAAGTTAATAATTTCACCAAAATTACCAACATTCTTCACTGTCATAACATGATTTGCTTAAAGTCATTACATTCTATACAAATTTAAGTTATCGATATACAAACATTGAGACTTATAAAATTCATTCAGTGCCATTATTAGAGCTACTAGATCATGAGTCCCTAATTAACAATGTCTGAAATAGTTTATGAATGCCATGATTAGTCCTGACATCAATAAGACAAGACCACCAGGAAATGCTAATTATTTATTGTGATAATGAGTAATGAATGCAAGGACTTGTCCCTCTCATCCCACAGATCTAGGGGGAAAAAAATAAAAAATAAAAAATGAGAATGAGTTATTTTTAATTTTGAGTTATACTCTCGATTCAATGACTAATAACACAAGCTACGTAATGTTCGTAATAGAGCAAGGAAAAAATCCAAAATAAATTATTTTCCCATTATCAAGCCAAATCAAAAAGAGGAAAAAAGTTCTATTAAACATAAGATGTTGGGTAATATTTCATGAATCATAACATGGGTTTAAAAGTATATTTGAATCAATTATATGAGTTTTTCCCCATTATATTATATTGCATCTCAGTTTCCCATTTCCCCCCAGTAATTTGACCAGAAAGTGATTCAGAGAAATGGAGCAAAACCCTAGAAATAATTAATTGAAGCAACTCCCACAACGGTCAGAGATTGATCCCTCCAAGCTAACTAAAAGAAAGAAACAAACACTTCTTTAATCACTGGTCATACCAATAATAATAAATAATAACAAATACAGATTATTTTTCCTTACTATGGTAATGCAAGGGACATCCAAGAAGACAATACAAAACAACTTTAATGCACTCCATGTACACACACATACTACCTCCCTCCCTATAGTCCACATTCAAACATAGAGGCTATAATATATATATATATATATATATATATATATATATATATATTAACATGGCAATATAAAATATATGAGTTTGTGTTTTCTATATGTCTAATTGAATAATCTAACATCTTGGGAACAGGGCTTGCTCATGACTGAGGTAGTCCACATCTATTGGTTGGTTTTTAAAACCAAATCCATCTTCTTGGATTAGTCAAAAGATAACAGAAACCATCTTCTAATCACATAATCCAAAAGATATTCAGTAAAACAGTCACTATATGAATCACTTCTATGAAAAGCATGTGGGAGTGGTTGGAAATTTATAGAGATCTGAATCAGGCACCAGATAATAAGAGTAAATGGAAGCAAGAAAAAGAATCTACATAGATCTGAAAATTTTAAAAAAAGAACAGAAAAAGTAGTTTCTATTTTCATCTTTTCAGTGTAGATCATAGATGAAAAAAGATTTGTAGATCAAGCATCCATGGAAAGCTATTGATTTTATATCAATAACACCCCCCACCATCACAGCATGTGCTTGAACAAGAATAATGACAACCCCCACATTATCCTACCTTAGATAAGACATGCACATGGCTCCTGAAACTAGTTTAATGAAATTACTTAGCATCATATGATTCATATACTAATTGTTAAAGACAACCTCAAATCCATATAATTCAATTATGAAGTTTAGGACAATTATTTTGGTAATATCCAGTTTTTTACCATATGTTGGATTGTGTTACAAAAATCAGCAGGTTTTTTTATGGTGTATGGTGCCAACATCCTTATGTCTCTCACATTACTCGTCTCGACATGTCTGAGACAAGGGCATGGGGCATGGATGAGTTAGGAAGCTCCTTGCATAGAAAAAGTTGAGCAGATGCAAGGATCTGCATCTACCCATAAACTGGAAAAAGTCTCTACACATAAAAAAAAAAGTAGTTTTCTTGTAAGTTGTTCATTGAATCATTAATGACAGTTTATGCAATCTGAAAGTGATTTATGTTAAGTTGTTCTTTGTTCCTTTCAAAGGTAAATTCAACAAACACTTGATTCCGAATAAGAAAGACGGAATTTCTGAAAATTCATCTTGCATTGATATACAGGAGTTATCTACAAGTTACAGTGTCGCAAGTGGTAAACAAGTCTCAAACAGTCAAACATATGTCCTCTCAACCTCCGATAAGCTTTTGCTCACCAGGGCGGTTCATATTCGTAGGACTAGTACACAACGATCTAGTAAAAGAAAAACAAATTTACACTAGCAAGCAAAAGCTTATCTATTAAAAATCAGTCACACAAAATTTGCCATCCACACTGTTTTGAACTGCTTTGACAGCGGCCACTCTAGCCGCAGTTGCAGCTCTGTTTGCAGCCGTGACTGCCTTATTTACTTGTTCATCCACCCGCCGAAGGTGAATTGCACTCTCTGATGTCTTTCTAGCAGCCTATAATTAAAGGAAAGAGAATAACGGACCGTGAAAAGTTGTACACGAGTCCTGAGCTCATGGCTCCATATCAAGGTTGGTGAAAATATTGAATGGAATATGAATGTACCTGAATTGCTTGGATGACTGCATCAGTCAGTGGGGGCAAGGGGTTCTTGAGATTGCCAGAGTCCCATTCACCACATTTTGCGTAGCCATTTCGGAAAGTATACATGCCATAGCCTTGCTTACGGCCTTCGTGCCACGACCCTTCGTAATAGTGGCCGTTAGAGAAGTGGTAGACACCGAATCCATGGACTTTGTCTCCGAAATACTCACCAGCATACCGATCTCCATTTCTGGAGAAAAAATAATTGCATCATTATTTCACTCAGTGCCTTAGATATGCATTTATAGAATCAGATTTATGAAGGGGACCACACTCTGCAAACATTATTCACTAGGACAATTTTATGGGTTCAGTAATGAATATAACTGTATATTATTTATATATGTTCTTCCATAACTGCAAAACAAATCTAAATTTGAAGAACTGTAAATATTATCGGAGACCGAAATACAGATAGCTATTCAAAATCCAAATATATGAACCTGCAACAAGTGAACATAAGAACATTCAACCGCAGTTACCCAATTATAGTTTGTACGACCAATTTTTTTTATGAAAATTCAAGCAATTATGCAGAAAACCTTGAAGCAAACAACAATAAAGAAAAGAAAAAAAAAATTCAAACATACTAAAAAACTATTTTTCAAACTATCATTGACTTAAAGATAATTATCAAGATCATAAATAATTTTTTATGATTTTTTTGCACAAAAAATCATAAACAAATGTTCAATACAAATATTTAAAACTGATACATTTCAAAATATAGAATTCTATCATACATCAGGATACCCCAAAATCTTTAGTGAATAACAGAAACCAATAAAGATCCCATCTTTATCCATTAATACATATCCAAAAATTAATGATACAATAAAAACAAAATATAAAACAGAATTCAAAAATAATAACAACTATAAGATAACACAATCTTAAACATTCAACACAAAAAAACAACCACATATCATTTGGTCCACCCTAGCAACCAATCTCCCCTGTCAGACACATCAAACCAATCACAGAAACCCAAAATTTAACAATTTCAAAATAACCTTTTAAAAAAAAAAAAAAAAAAAAAAAAAAAGGGCCCAAATTGAAGAAGATCCAAGAATTCACCTGAAATGGTAAGAACCAAGGCCATGCTTGACACCACACTTGAATTCACCAATGTAACAACTCCCATCTGAGCAAGTCTGAACTCCAACACCATGACTCTGCCCATTGCACCACTCCCCTGCATATGCATCCCCTGTATAGAACCTGTAAACCCCATAACCATGTCGCAACCCTTGCCGGTACTGACCCCGGTATCGACTACCTCTAGCCCAGCTTTCTATCCCATACCCATCATATTTTCCATCAATCCAATCACCCTCATATCTCCCATTCACAAAATAGTTATACACTCCACTTCCACTGCACTTTCCTTTGTGAAACTCTCCTTCATAGAAATCACCATTGCTGTAAAATTCAACACCTTCACTTACAATAGGGTTCTCTTTCAGATCACCTTGGTCTTCTTCTGCCATTGTTGATTCACCAATGAACCATTGGACCGGTTTCGAGTTATTATCGGAGAAACCAAGTTTCTTGGTGTGTTCATTGTGCAATTGTCTGAGAACTGTGAGGGTTTGGTGCAAAAGATCCTTTCTTTTTCCGGCGAAAAAGAGCAAAACGGCGATGAAAACCAGAGCTAACAGAAGGTTTTCCGAAGTGGGTATGTCGTCTCTGTTGAAATGGACGAAAAGGGTGTAGAGGGTGAGCAGTGTGATGATCAGAACCGGGATGAACCGGGTCGAACCGGCTCGGACCGGGGTTGTGTTGGGTTTGTGGGGTTTCTGTTCTTCTGTGTCTTCTTGCTCCGGCAAGATTACGTTCACGGAAGATAGGCTGTGGATTGATGATCGGATGGTCGACGACCGGAGAAGTGAGGATTGCGTCCTAGTAAGCTTCGCCTGGCTTTTCTGACCGTCCATTTTTTGTGGGTCCCCCTCGAAAACACCAAGCTCTGCCGTTTGATCTTCTCAGTGGGTTTTCATGTAGCTTGGTATTCTTGTCATCTAGGAGGATGACGCCGGCGCCATCTCAGGTGGCGCATGATAAGCTGTGGTGTTTGGCGCAGGTTAGCAGGTGCCAACACCCAACTGAAGATATATAGAGGGATATAGAGAGAGAGAGAACAGAACTGAGAGATGGAGAGAGAGAGAGATGGGGAGAGTAGACCGGGTTTTGCTGATTTATTGTGTTTGGGGGAGGAGACACCTAGGTTTAACTTGAGCCGTTGGATGGTGATCGGACGGGTGAATTTGAAGGTGGGCCATTAACCGTTGGATGGGTTCTATATCGGGAGTTCCCGGGTATAGACGGAAGAGATTTGGTAATCGGAATCAAGATTCGGTCTTTCACTTTAATGTTGCAGGCCGGCACGTGCCACGACAGTTTTAAATTTAGTCCTTTGAAGGAAAAAGTGGGATGTTGCGGCGGGCTATGATAATAATCTACATCACGATCACACACCATTGGTATTGCTGTTGATATCATGATTAGTGGATTTTTATTAATCGATCCTCTTCAGGCTCGTACCGTTCAAACTGGTCCAAATGGATCACATCTAGCTAATTCGCATCAGTGTAGTACAACACAAGTATTGTATTGTATAAATCCACACCAACATTACACGTGTACAGATATTATTGGTAAATATTTGTACAGTACAAATTATCATAGGAGAAAAATATTAGTAGCGTTACTAAATATCACCTATAAAAAAGATGATAATATTATTTTAATTGGATTGAGGTATTTATTTTGAACCTAAATCATCAAAGTTAAATAAGTCATTTAAGTTGAATTCTAAGTTAAATCTTTTTTAAGTCACCTTAAATTGAATTCTCTATTGATTGACACATGACATTTAAAATCTATCCCTACTTAAAGAAAATTTGAAAACTGTACCGTTTTGAGATAAAAAAAAATTTACCAAAATTTGAAAATTGCACCATTTAAACTTTGTTCTCTCTCCCTCATCTCATCTTTTTTGAAAAAGATCGTTCCCTCTCTCCTCTTGCTTATTCCCATGATTGGGGGAATATTTCGCGCCAAAAATAAATGTGCAAATTAAAAGCCTGTAATGGATTTTGCAGTTTAAATTTCAAAAAATAGAGAAATTTTACAATTTAGATTTCAAAATAAGAGAGTGAAAAAAGAAGAATTTTGCAATTTAGATTTCAGAAAAAGAGGGTGACCACCAGCTCGTTCTTTACTAGGCATATAGGCGAAACCCGCCGGGTTAACTCAACATAAAGAAAGCTCATTACGTCAAAACGAGGAGAATGCTTACTAAAAGGCCAGTTGGGAGTAGAGCATTCGTTGCCACTGGGGAATGACTGACTTTCTTGAAAGAGAAACTCGTGCCAGCATCGATTACATGGCAATCGGAATGTGTGGGCTCTAGGCACCAAAAATTGTGGAAAAAAATATTCATTTTAGAGAACAACGTTAACGTCGTTAAAGTATGGTGAATTTTTCTTATTTTAAAATGGTGCAGTTTTCAAATTTTGATAAATTTTTTTTATCTCAAAACGGTATAATTTTTAAACTTTTTTTAAATTAGTTGATTTGATTTAATACAAGCAGTAAAAAAAAAGTGTCACATGTCAATAATCAGAGAATTTAACTTGGAAAATCCAAACCTATTTAATAATTGTTAGTATTGTGATATCCTGTTATCGCAATGTTTTGAATTTTTTAAATATTGGCGGATTACATGTTGATCAATAGCTTTATTTTGGTCCAATCTTTTTCGGCGGATTGTTCTTTCTTTTCTTACCTTTATTTTTTCCTTTTTTATTTTATAATAGGGTATTCTATAAAATTTGAAGAACAATATAACAAGGGTGGGTATTCTGATTATGAGATAACCATTTGATATTAAATATCTTTTTAATTTACATTCTATAAAATTTGTTTTAAAAGCGTTGCGGGCAATAAGGTTTTATTTCCTTGACCTTTTCTCAATTTCTTCCAATTATGCTGACTATTTCCACATCTCTCCTTAATGTGCGGAGTAAAGTCAAGCAATTCCTTACCTCACATTCTCCAACTTTTTCATTGGGTTTGTTTGGTCAAATAGAATTAGTAAGAAAGGAAAAAATCAGAAAATAATTATACTTTTTGTGCGTTTGTTCAGTATAAAATTAGGATTCTCGCAAGTAATTAATTTTCTCTAAAATTCGGTATAAAACAAAAAAATTTGTTTCTCGAGAAAATTGTGAAGTTATATTTTAAATTCCTATTATACCTATAATTATCAATTGAGTTTCTTTATCTTTTTCTCCCTTTTTGAGAGACATTTTTTTTGTTTTTTTAAACCTAAATGAACTCATGAAATTGGGGAGATCTTATTTTTAGCATTTTTTTTTTATTATGTATTTTTATCGTTTTATTCTTTTTCCTCCCTTTTTTTTTCTTCCTTCCAAATACGTATATGCATATAACATATTATGGGGGGTATTTTTAAGTGCATTGTTTTAATTTACAATATGTAAATATACATATCAACTAGGTTTTTAGAATTTGGATGCTAGAGTTATTATAAGTTTTAGGAAATATATATGTTCCTTAAAAAGAATAATAGAAAATATTCTATAATTATATAATTCCAGTTGAATTAAAAAAGAAAACCCTCATAAACTTAGTAGTTATATGTAAAATTCTATTGGCTTTGGTTATTCTAATATAAACAAATATCGATCTAGTGAAATCAAAGGACTTACAATTAGTATATAAATTGTAATGTCCAAATCACACACACACATATATATATATATAAATATAAATATTTTTTACTAAAGAAATTCAGGTGACTTGGTGTCTCATACCAGTTCAGAATAGTATTATCGACAACAAAATTTGATGCATGAATTAATTTTACTCAAATTTATTTATATTTTTAGTATTTAAAATTATAAGGGCAATTTTGACAAATACAATAATTTTCTTTTTTCTTTCATTCCATCCAAACTTACAATATAATATTTTCTCACAACTTTCTTGAAAAATTTTTATGCTAACCAAATGCACCATGGAAACTTAATTTTCTTTTCATTCACTTCACTTTCTACTATCTATTTTCATCTAACCAAACGAACCCAAGATATATACAATTTTAATTTTTACTCGTACCAAATAATTTATTGGATAAAGATTGTCCTAATAAAAATTATCCTAAATAAGATTAAAAAAAAATAAAATAAAAACCCAATAAATATGAGAATTTGAAACATAATTACAGCAGAAAAATTTAAGAAAGGAGCCCTTCCCTACCTCCCCCACTCTCATACCAAATGGATAGAACCCCTTCCTCCACTCCTTCCATCCTCCCCTTTCTTCCCTTCATTCAACCAAACATGCTTTTAACTCTAATTCGATGTAAGATGTGTAACACTATTAAGTATAAATTATTGTATTAATCCAGAATCATTGGTCACGAATCACGACTAATCACATTGTATGCTGCACAAATAAAAAGTACACAAAACTAACGCATTTACTTAAATACTACCATGTGATTAACGGGGATATCAATGATCCCGCTAATCTGTAACAACTGTTACAGTATATGACAAGTGGTATATATTTATGGTTTTCACTATGTTATAGTTCATTTTCATGTGCTTGATCTTATGCATTGTTGGTGGAAACAATTAATAACAAACACTGCAGGGTGAATTGATGAGACTAACTGATGAGTACTATTTCAACAAATAGAAGTTTACGGAAGAAAAGAAAATGGGGTTGAGGGAGAGCAATACAAGCGTCGTGTTATTAGGCGAAGCGGTGGAATACTGCACTCTAGATAGTGAGAGTCCAATAGCCAAAACACCAGCTTACGCTCTGACCCAAGTAGCATAGGCACGTGGAATCCTGTGTGAATTAGGACTACCTTATAAGGCTAAATATTCCTGGGTGACCAGTACCATGAAGGAAGGGTGAAAAGAAACCCCATAAAAAAAATTTAAATAAATACAAGAAGTTGTAATAGGGGTGTGGTGGGGTAATTTTCATGAATTTTAATTTGTCTTAAAATCTTTTCCTCTTTCCAGGGGTGCTATCTATACGGCCTTTTTATTACCATTTCAGTATTTCAACTGAATTCTCATTACAAAAACCACATGGTGGTAAGGACTTTTCGTGGAAAAAAGCCAAATGTAAACCATGGAAATAGGACTCTCTCTCTCTTCCTTATTGAAGTGCAACGGGTTACTGGCTGGTGTGTGTGAGAGAGTGTGTGTTAATGACTTTTGAAATTCCAATGGGCCTTTAGAGCGGGTTTGAATTTTGAACCGTTCCAATGGGTTCAGGAGAAACAAAAACTTGCTGTGACATGATAGGAGAAGCTTCCATGCCCCCATCTCGTAATTTCACAAAAATGTGTACGAATTTATTATATATAGGAGTACAACGGTTGCGTTTGGCTAAAGTTTTGAAATTAAAAGTGATGGTATTACAAAAATAATTTAATTTAATTTTGTGAGTTAAAATATTCGTTTAATTTTAATAGGTTTCATAAATTCGGGTTTTTTTAAACCAATATATCTATTCTGTTTGGTTGAATTAACTTTCCACTTGGGCAGTTTCTCACTTTCCAACTTTTCCTTTTTTTCTTATTCTATTTTGTTATATTTGGTGTGCAAGAATGGAATGGAATGCAAGTGGGAATGAAATGAAAATAGGAATGAAATGAAATGGTCATTCTCATTCTATTATTTAGTTATAAATATGAAATGTGTAGGAATAGAATGATAATAACCATTCTAGTGTTTGGTTGGACCAATTTAAAATTTAGAATGGAATAAATTTCTAATTGAATTTTCCAAAATATCTCTCTTAGTAACAAATAAATTAAATTAAATTAAATTAACAAAATGATATTCTCTAATAATTATTTAAAAATAAATGGTGGCAATGGCAGTGGTGAATGGTGGAAAGCGATAATAATGTAGGTGGTGGTGTTGGAAAGCGGCAGAGGTGGCAATGTTGGAAATTGGTGGCAGCAGTGGTGGTGAAAGGTGGCAGTGGTGTTGGTGGAAGACGGTGGTAGTAGTGTGATGGTTTGTGGTGGAAGGAGATAATGGTGTGACTATGGTGGTGGTGGAAGGCAATGGAAGTGGCGGTGGTAGTAGTGCTGAAAGGTGGTGACGATGGTGGTGGTGGTGGTGGAAGGCGGTGGTGGTACTGGTAGCGGTGGAGGTGGCAGAAGGTGGTGGATGTGGTGAAAAGTGGTGGCGGTGGCGGTGGCGGTGGTGGAAGGTGGTGGTGGCGATGGAAGGTGGTAAAAGGTGATGGCGGCAACGGTGGTGGTGATGAAAGGTGGCGGTGGTGGTATAGGGTTGTGACGGTGGCGGTAGTGAAAGGTGGCGGTGATACTGAAAGGCGGTAGTAGTGGTGGTGGTGGTGGAAGGTGGTGGCAGTGGTGAAAGGTGATGGCGGCAATGGTGGTGGCGGTAGCAGTGGTGAAAGGTAATGGCAGTGGAAGGTGGTGGCGGTAGCGGTAGCGGTGGTGAGAAGCGGTGGCGGTGGCGGTGGTGAAAAGCGGTAGCGGTGGAAAATAGTGGGCGATGGTGAAAGTCAGTGGTGGTGGAAGGCAATGGTGGTGGTGGAAGGTGGAAATGATTGTCGTGGAAGGTAATGGTGGTTTTTGAACTTGGAATATGAGGGTGTTTTGGGAAGTCGATTTTTTAAAACAAATATTTGAAAATGTAATGGCCATTCCATAAGTTTAGTTGTATAATAGATTTTCATTCGCAGGAATGGCCATTCCCACTTTAATTTGCATACCAAACAAAATAATAGTTGAAATGAATATTCTATTCCATTTCATTCATGCACATCAAACGTAGCATTACTCTATCTTTCTAACCTTTTTCCTAGGTTCTGCAAATAAAAATATATAATACTCCCTATTATAATTCTTATATAATTTACCTTTTTTTTTTTTTTTTTTTTTTTCAACTCTTTCTTTTTATAACTCTTTACTCTTTTTTTATTAAATTCCATTACCTTTCTAACTTTTCCTGCACACTCTCTAATTTATTCTCAAAAATACTTTCAGATCTTAGGTTCACATAGTTGAATTATTTATGAGTAATAATAAACATTACAAAATTCTACTAATTGAATGGTGGATTGTGAAATCCCCATCACAAGTGAAGCCCTCCACTTTCTACATGAGACAGTCCACAGTTTGGTGTCCCAATGTTTTTCCCAATTCTTTCTTTTCATATTTTCTTTAATAGGTTTTATTATTACTTTAATAGGTTTTATTATTATTATTATTATTATTATTATTATTGTTTTGATAAAAGCTAACGTAGAAAAAAGCTTAGAGGAAAAATATTACAAGGATATTCTACTATTCAGATAATGAGATTAGCATCATTATTCATAAGAAATTTGACATATAATCATTTGATATTAAATTTCTTTTAATTTAAATTCTATAAAATTTGTTTTAAAAGCAATATAAGCAATAAAGATTTTATTTCCTTGATTGTCTCAATTTCTTCCAATTCTACCAAGTATTTCCACATGTCTGCGTAATGTGTGGAGTGACGTCAAGCAAGACCTCACATTCCCAACTATTTCATTAGATATATCCAATTTTTCTCATTTTCATAGGGGTATTAAACCAATAATAACTTAGCTATCTATTTATAAAATTTTAATAGTTCCAAATTATTTGGTAGACAAAACTTCTTCCAATAAAAATTATCCTAAACAAGATACAATTTTCAAATAGAAACCCAACAAAATTGAAAATTTGGAACATAATTACAAAATCTAAATTTAACAAAAGAACCCCTCCTCTTCTTTCCCTTTCTCTCATACCAAATCCACCTAACTCCTTCCTCAATTCCTTTTATCCTTATTCCTCCCACTTTGTGCCTCCATTCTTCCTTCAACCAAAAGCGTTACAAACTAAACATAGTATTATCACGACGCAAGTTGTATCTTACCGAATCAGGATCCTCTTCAATACACATTTGGGTCCAGTACCCTCTAAGGTCATTTACAGTGTCATCGCCAAATGGAATTTTTGACGAGAAAGGGAGAGTTTAGTTCTGCAAGGGAATCGTGGTATGGTGGGGCCCATTCGTGGGATCGTTGAAGGCATCGTGGTATTCAACGAGGGGTCTAGCGAGCAATCAACCTTTTTCTTCTATTTTTTTTTTTTTTTTATGGGTCGTGATAGAGGGACCGATCATTTTGGCTGGTTGCTTTGGCAAAATCCACATTGCAGTCCGCCTAGCAACCAACTTAAAAAATAAAAATAAAAACCTCTGTCTTGCTTTTTCTTCTTCCCTCCTCGTTGCCTGTCTTGTTTCTTCCCTCATCAATTGTCGTCGACTTCACCATCTTGAAGAGACCGTTCTGCATGGCCTACAACCGTGGCAACGTGTTTTGATTCGTGCCTCTACGCTATTGATTTTCTTTGCACACCATCTCCAAACACCGATCTACGAGACCTTACTTCATCGGCGTCAACTACGACATCATCGGCGTCGTTTGTAACACGGGGTAAGTGCAAAAAAGACCCCTCAAGTATACTCTGAGTAGCACTTTTACCCCCTATTTGAAAATGTGTGCAATAAACACCCTAATCTTTTGAAATTGTGCAAAATTACCCTTCTGTGCAATAAACACCCCTAAATTATTGCTGTAATACCCATTTTGCCCTTTTAGTCTTCCAAAAATACCATACCTTCTCTCTCTACTCTCTACTCTCTGCCGCTAGTTCTTCCCACCACCGTGTTCTTCTTTTTCTTCTTCTTCAACCACCGCTTGATGGTACAGCTTCCTCCTCCTCCTCACACCATAATTCACCCCTCAATTCCACCCATCAATCTCATCCATATACATACACACACACACACACACACACACACGTATATATCTATATATATATACACACATATGAATCTCATCCATTTATACATATATATATATACACACACACACATATATATATACACGGCGGCTGCGAATCAGGGTACCACCAGCGGTATCGATGGCTTATGGGTTGTGGATTGGAGGTGGCGGTGGCCGGATCTCGATGCCAAGATTGCGAACCCAGGATCAATGGGTTTGTGAAAAAGAATTAGGATCCATTCCTTTCACTTTCTACAATGGGTCTGTGAACTCAAATTATCTCAAACTCAGAACTCAAACAACAAGCAATATCCATAACCCTTCTCCTTAGCCACCAACGTGCAATTTTCAGTTTGAAATTCTAGAATTGCAATAAACTTGCAATTATGAATAAGTGTGAGCAATTAAAGCTTGAGAAACTGTAATTATAGGAATAATTAAGTGAAATTGGTCATATTCAACGTTCAAGATCGCGTTGAAGATACCCAATTCGCACATGATAGCAAGCCGAAGAAGATGTCGGCGATGACGTAGAGCCCCAGAGAGCAGATTCGACGGCGACTACACAGCCGATGGCGATGATGCAGATTCGACGGCGACTACATAGCCGTAGATTCGACGGCATTGAAGTTCAGCATTTGGTGCTTGCATCAGCAACTCATAACTCTTGTAAAGAACTTAAAATGGAACAAGCTCTCAAGTCTCGCCGGTGTTCATGGTCGCCGGAGTTGTTTCGCCGATTGGGTTTCTCCCACTGTTTGTATATATTGAAGCTCACCACCTTCATCTAGGTTTGGTGAGATTTTCAGTTTCAGATTTGCAAATGGATTGGACTATGTTTTGATTGCAATTGGGTTAGTTGGTGCCTTTATCCATGGTTATTCTTTGCCTCTGGCGGATGTGGTTGGGGAGAGGTGGCGGATGTGGTTGGGGAGAAACGGCGACGGCCGATTCCTCTACTATTGAAACCCTTTCTTCCTTTGATCTCCTTCTCTCCAAGGGTCGCGACGCCTTCAATTCCCCAAACCATCACCCATGGCCTCGAATTTTTTTAGTGTTAATGTATATTGTTAATTTTTCTCCTATGCTCTACTCTCAACAAAGCTCAATTCAAGCAATTGAGTCAATCCAATTTCATACCCATGGTTGCCACTCTTTCCTCTGCCATCTCATCGTCGTCGTCTCGATGCCTCACCCAGACTGAATTGCAGAATGGGTGTGCAAAATAAGACGTCACTGTTTATTGTCCATTTTAGTCTTTTTATAAAATTTTGTAAAATTGTTGACTAAGGGTACTTTAGTCCAGTTTGGTTTTAAATGTGCTAGAGGGACTTGATTGCACCAAATTGAAACTTGAAGGATGTTTTTTTGCACGGGAAAAGTGTGATATGCACTGTAAGCATAGTTGATGGGTGTTTTCTGCACTTGACCTTTTGCAACACGTGTGTTCAGCATGCGCCTCATGGCGCTTCATGCATATTCTTCCTCCACATAGCGTGCCCGCACACCCACCACGTGCCCGACTCATTTTTTTCCCGTCAACTTACCTCCGGCGCTATCTACCTGGCCAGGTGAGGAGTTTTCGAAGTCATCACCTTGGTCTATGTTTTCTTTTAGCATCGTGAGGGTCAATACATTGACACCACACTCTCAATAACCGCGTTAGTGGATTGAACTTCATTGACAATCTCTTGCAAAATCTTCAACACCGGAAACTATTAACCCAAGGAGTGAATTTTCGATCGCTTAACAATCGTAAATCATGGAGAAATCAAAAACAACGCCGACATTCTCGATCTCCTTCAACAACAACGACGTTGCCAATTCCTACCAAGAACAACACTAGTGGTGCATGCCCAGAGAACTGATTCGGCATCGGTAAGGTCCGACAACACCGGACCTGTCCTTATCACCAGTTATCTCTCATACAATCTTCTTCGGTCGATTCTCTACTGCAGGAAAGAGAAATAAGAGAAATAAGAAGGTTCCACCAGAAGAGTAAGAGAGAGCCACAACATAGATTATACCAGAGAAAGTGGTGAAGATGAGCGAGAGCCGGATGAGATAGAAAATGTGATACCCCTCGCATCCGAGACACGGGTTGATCAGGTCCAGGCCCAAACCCGAGGGATATCAAACAATTAAAGTATTTTAAATCGAACACGGAATACAAAATTGTTTAAGAAATAAAAATTTAAAAGCTAAAAGGAACTAGAAATAAATATCTTCCAAATATAATTATAAAAAACCAAGCTTCAAAACCTCTGTAAGTTTACAACCCGGGAATCCATCTATTGGACCCCTTATAAAATTCTCAAATAGGAGTTTAAATTATAGAAATAAATTCTACAGCTAACATAGAGAAGATTCCTACATAGTCGGAGGAATGAATATATGTATCTGCTCTGCACGTCCAAGCTCTAATCCTGGAACTGACGAATACCTGAAAAATAAAGGAGTGGGTCAGGCCCACATGCAAGTCCTGATCTACTACAATCCAAACAGTAATCCGATACGCAAATACATCCTAGGAAGACTCAACAATATCTAGAGTAGTCCATATATGTATAAGTACACACTATAGGACGCTCACTAGTCCAAAAAGGTCTGTCTCAGCCTGAATAGAGATACCATGCAAATCGCACATACTGTGGTCATGTGTATCTAGACCTACCAGGGAACAACACCTCTGTCCAGCTATCCATCCTAGGCAATATACGCACCCTAACCATGGTCCTAAGACTCAAGCTCATACCATGGCCCATATAATAAATATATAAAGTCCGTACTCCTAATACAAAATATCATCCATCTGTATAGTGGTCTGATATATGTATAACA